AAGCTGATGGCAGCTCAGCTGATCTAAGACCGAATCCAGCTTTTATGCCTAAAACATCACGAGCTCTTTTAAATCAAGAGCGATATCGTTGGAGGGGTTCCCCCCTCCACACACACACACAAATCAGAAGAAGCATCTTTCCATCTGCTCTGTCCTGTGCGGGCATTGACGTGTTACATAGCGCGCACAGCTGCAATGCCTCAAACTCAACATTTGTTTGTGCATTATAGAGATGCATATGCAGGTCGCCCGTTATCCACCCAGCGCTTGTCACACTGGTTGTGTGAGGCCTTTTCTGAAGCCTACAGAGCATCAGATTTAGAGTCTCCTGATAACCTCAGGGCGCACTCGACCAGAGGTATCGCGTCTTCGACTGCTCTGCATAATGGTATGACAATGCAGGACATTTGCACTGCGGCTGCGTGGTCAACACCCTGCTCATTTATTCGTTTCTATTTACGTGATGTGACGGCCCGTTTCATGACACATTCTGTCCTTAGTGTTTTAACAGAATGAATATTGTTGTTTCATGGAACCCCGTTTAAACTCACATCTGTCTGCATGCATTATAGTGTGAGATGTTGTTATCAGTCACAAGTTGTGACTGTTATTTTGGTTCTATTGTCACTAATCAGTTCATGACTATTGTTATCAATCAGTTCATTTGATTAATAATCAGTTCACTTGTTATTATTAATCTGTTCATATTGTTCAGCCGTGAATCTGTTGCTTCATGGCCTTTTTTCAGCACGCATTTCTCCACGCTCCCTGTTCTCCTCCTGCCTTTTTTTTCTTTCTCTCTGTCTGCGTTTCGGAGCAGCTCCTATTTTTTACACATCTCCCGAAATGAAAACTACTGTTTTGGATCTGACCAACTGGACTTTCGATGTATATTACAATTATTTTCAACAAAGTGATAGGGTCCTGGAGAACCCTCATCTGCTCGGATGACATGCATACAGCTGGATATATCTCTGGGGGGGTGTGTCTACCTCTGCTATATCGACCGAGGATACTGAAATTGCAGATAACTGGATTTATGATAACATGCTTCCTGTTTTAGGAATAGTCTGGATCCTGTTTATCAACATTCAAAGAAGACGGCCGCAGCTAATTTAGACCTTGACAGGCTGCTGTCTATGTGAAAGTCTGGTTCGTGCTGGAGGACTCAAAAGCAGATGCTTTACGAGTGAAACCATAAGTTGGAAGTGATTTGAATCCCATGCCACCTGCGGCTTTGGGACTTGTCAGCATGAAAACCATCTTGAAGAGGCTCGTAAGCACGGACCAGTGGAATGCACCCTAATCTGGACATTTTGGACCTTGGAAGTATCAGTACAGACTCAAGGCTGACGGAAAATAATCTGCCTGAATAAATCAACAATTGTGGTTATCTGAATCTCTCCCCAGCTGGCCTCGGAACAGGCTGACTTACCTGGGAAATGTGTAAACTAAGGGGCCGTTTAAACGGCGTGTATTTTGAATGAATCCACTTCTTTCTCTCTGCGGTTCTGCTGATCATTTACTCGACACCAGTGGCCCCCCTCTTTGAATCCGGAGGTTTCTGAACCCACCTTCCAGAGTGGAGGTTTTTCTCTGACCCCCCGCTGATGATGTAAACATCTCCCGCTGAGGCTTTGTGTTAAACCACGTGCACACACGCACACCTGGACAGACGCTATATTTCTATCAACATGGCGGCGGACACACGTCTTTCTGAACTACGACTGATGGAATATATTTTTAATCTCGTAGTTAATCTACGTCAGATTGCAGCTGCTGTGACCAACATCTGTGTTGGAAGAGACACAATCTGATCCAGTTTTAATGTCGCTGTTTATAGAACGAGGCACGTGCACACGTCGCCACGTGCACACGTCGCGCTGCACTATAACATCTAAATGTGATAAATAATAAGTTTAATAATAATAAACAGTATTTATGTTAGTGTGAGTTATAATGAAGCTCTGAGCTAAATGAAGCTTTCTGGACATGATGTAATTCAAATTTAAAATGATGCTAAACATAAAGCGTGAACACTAAAGTTGAAAATGAAGACATCAGGTTTAATTTTTATTTATTTATTCAACACCACAAACTGTGTGTCACACAAACACTGATAATTAAACTGAACACACTATTAAAAACAAGTTAACTGTTAACTGCGTTAATGAACTGGACTCTTGTTTTCATCCTGGATGTACTGGTCCCACGTTGTTCATCTGGCTCGTTCAGGCTGTCACTACTTTGTTTAATGCAGCTTAAAACATTGAATGGATTGAATAAAAGAACTGAAGGGAATTTTAAATAAATAGTTCATCCACATCTCTCTCTTCGACATCCTCCTGCACTGCACCTGGGCCGAGCCTCGTTCAGAACCGGTCCGCCTGGTGGGAGGACAGCTTCTTCTTCTTTCAGGAAAAAAATAAAAACTCAGTTGGTTGTTTTGTAACAGAAGTAAACACAAGCAAACATTAAGAACATTTGATTTACCTGCTGTAAAACAGCTACTGATTATCAAGGAGTTAAGTTCGACATTGTCGACTCGGTTCTGGTCCACTCAGCGACCGGTGTGGAGCTGTTAGACGAAGCGTCCCGCTTGGCGTCAAATCTGTCGACTCTTATCTAAAATCCAGCTTTAACTTGTTGTTAGCAGAGCTTTTTAGCTCACAGGAAAGGAGCATGCCGAGGCAGAACGCATAGGTGAAGGTACAAAATTCACAGCGCCATCTAATGACCCGGCATGGTAACTACAGCGGATTCGGGAGGGCGGGGGAGAATCCTCTGGATGCATGTAAACACAAAATGTGACCGTGTCAACGCAAATCTTTTCCTCTAATTAACATACGAAAAAACCTACGTTTCCCCCCATCGTGTCCGTGTAAATAGGGCCTAAGGAAAAGCTTTGTCTATCCCAATCTTGGAGAAAGCTGTAAGCTCGACTTTCGGCATAAGGGATCAATTCGGCTGTTTGGAGTCCCCTTCTGAGAAATGTACTAGCAAGATATCCTGATGCTGCTCAATAATCCAGGTAGAAAAATCTAAAAAAGTTCAATCTGGTCCTCTGGACATTCAAAAAACAAAGCAAAACAAATGTAGAAACGTTTCGTCTCTCATCCGAAAGACTTCTTCAGTCTGAGGTGCTGTATTCAGCTCAGTCTCTTACATAGCACCTTCTCAGAGTGGATCAACCAGTTTGCTGCTGACAACCAGAACCAGCTGATCACATGCTCAAGAAGGACCATCAGCCTACTAGTACTAGCAAGTATTAGCAAGACTTTAAAAGACAGGAACAGCAATTCACAGTTCTGCCTGACCCAAACTGTGGCCTTGACGGCGGCCTTATCTCAACTCCTCCTGGCATGTTTTTAAAACAACAAAGACGCTTTGTCTGTCTCCTCACCCCTCCCTTCCCCAAGGCCGTGGACATGTGACAGAACCTCAACCGAGCTGATGATAAATAACACCTCTTATCTGGACAATGGCTGAGGGGGGGCTCTGGACTATGCTACGACCATCCATCCATCCATTATCCATCCATTATCTTTTACCCGCTTCTTCCATTTTGGGTCACGGGGGTCGCCAGTGCCCATGTCCAGCAATCACTGTGCGAGGGGCGGGGTACACCCTGGACAGGTCTCCAGTCCATCACAGGAACACATAGAGACAAACGAGACAAACAACCATTCACTCTCTCTCTCACACCTAGGGACAATTTAGAGTTACCAATCATCCTAACATGCATGTTTTATTTGGTCTGTGGGAGGAAACCGGGGTACCTAGAGAAAACCCACGCATGCACGGAGAGAACATGCAAACTCCACCCAGAAAGGCACCCGGACTGGGATTTGAACCGGGGACCTGCTTGCTGAGAGGCAGCAGCTCTACCAGTTGTGCCATCGTGCTGCTATGCTACGACCTTCCCTTAAAATTCAATGTCTTCACTGGCCTATATGTATCATGTCTATTTATGTGCTGTGCTGTAGTAGGTTTTTTGATGCCTCAAATTGTGCCCTGTCTAGGACTAGGTGTGAGAGGTTTTGTTTTATACCTTCTCCCGTTGTGTTTTCTTACCTTTTCTCATCTAAGCAAAAATGTTATTCTGAATAAGAATAAGAGGGCCGCGCTAATGAGCAGGAGCTTCATGCACTACGTCCATCTTTCGGACGACTGTACGTACATGTTCTCGTTGTATCTCGGTGCAATGATAATAAAGCTCATTCTGATTCTGATTTTCTGTTCTCAACTATTCACCATGAAGTTATCATGTGTTACAAAAATATCAATTAAACAAAGAAACACCTTCCTGTTCATTGTTTAAACAGTCAGTCATGTATGGTAAAGGTCTTATCAGTATTGATCGCAGCAGAGTTTATTTTTCTTTGTAGAAAAGTAAAGTTTTCAGACAAACAATGCATTTCATTGAGGACGACAAAAATAACGTTACTAACACTCATATATTTTACCGCTACATTAGATTTATTGTTCTGGATAAAGTTTTACAGGCAATAGCCTATGTTAGGTTATCTAAACGTTAGCTTGCTAACTTGAGAGGCATGTAGCTAATGGAAAGCAGGTTGGAAGATTGAAGATAATTTATTATTGTTGATTTATTTTATTTTACAGATCAGTTAAAGTAAACTCACCATGCGCTGTTCAGAAAAATACGCTACACAGTATTGCTCCCTACTTCGGCTGTGCTGAAAGTGAAACTTAACGTGAACGGCCATGACTTGAATGTTGTCTTCATGTGCCCTCTGCTGGACACATTCTACAATTACAGCTGGTTCCAACATTTTAGGGAGTGAAATTAGAAGCGCTTATATTGGCGCACAATGGCACAATTATCACGATACCGATAGGTCTCTAAAGGCCTATATCGGTAAAAAATATCGGCCTTGCCATTATATTGGTTGGGCTTTAGCATTTGTATTGGTTTATTGATTATTATTCAACAACAAGAAAAACTGCTCCTTGATAATGTGCTTTTTTTTCTATAGGTGGGGTCTCCAACTCCTACTGCCAAGTCCCGTCCAGGTAGAAAAAGGAAATCCCAACAGGAACTTCCTCCTCCACCTCATACTGCTCCTAAGAAACGAGGACGAAGACCAGCATCAGCCGCACCGGTACCATTGATGACTCCGGTTTCCACCTCCTCTGCTTCAGTTTCTGGTAGCTCAACGGCTGGAAGCTACAGTGCAGCTGCCATATTGGCTGCTGAAGCTAGACGAAAAGCAGCCAAAGAGTCTTCCTCCAAACCTGTTGTTCAGGAAACAGCCCTGCCAATCAAAAAACGCAAAACAAGAGAGACAGTGGAAGAGCAGGAATGTGTTCACGCTCAAACAGTCACAAGTGCAGAACCTGGAAACAGGACTTATACAGAGGAACAGGGAAGGACAACAGAGTGGGCTCTAAGCTCAGACCTTCAGCCCACCCCCTCTGAACAGAGCCAGTCCCAAAAGCAAGCTTGTGCCTCAGATGACAACCAATCGCTTGGACACAAATCCCATAAAGGTCATCAGCACAAGGAAAAAAACGGATCGGGAGAAACAGGAAGCATAGGACAGGAACTAGGTGAAGATGAAGGTGGGGGTGAAAAGAGTTGCAGCAGCATTAGTAGCATCAGCCCAGCAAAAAGTCACAAAAGGAAGGAACGACCACCTCATAAACACCACCATCATCACTACCACCATCATCATCATCACCAAAAGTTACCTGCCTCAGCATTAGATCAGCAGTCATCTCCTCATCCTCCAGTACCTGGACTCTCAGCACTTTCTAGTCAATCCAAACCTGAAGTGAAACCCCAGAGTGTGCCTCAGCTCGTCTCCAAACAAGCTCTACACAAGACTCAGTCCCCACCTGAATCTCAGAATCCTATCCCTCAACCCCACCAGCATCCTCAGCCTTGTTCTCAGTCCAAGATCCCCAGTTCATCTCGGACTCCACCTGTACCCCAACCACTTCACCACCCTCAGCCCCATCTTCAGACCAAGGTGCCCATTTCTTCCCATCCCCAGCCTCAACAGCCTGTACCACAGACCTCCCCTGCCAAAAACATCCCACCCAAACCACGGCTCCAAGAACCCCCAACCCTGTCTAAAGTTCAGCAACGAACCCAGCTTCAAGCTCTTCGTGCTTCACCTTACTCTGCACCCTTCTTGCACAGTCCTCCACCACAAGTAAAGGATCCCCAACCAGAAACACATCCTTCCCAAATTTTGCCAAGACACCCTTCTCAACCTCAAATACAATCTCAGTCCAGATTATTTCTCCAGACACAACTACAACCCCAAATCAGGACTCCAACACAGCCTCAGTCTCTGCCTAAGACCAGAGCCCTAACACAAGTTCAGAGTCAACCCCAGACCAGAACCTTGACCCAGTCTCAGTCGCAAACCCAGACCAGTACCGTAACACAAGTTCAGAGTCAACTCCAAACCAGGACTCCAACACCGTCTCAGTCTCAACCCCAGACCAGATATCCAACACAACTTCAGAGTGAACCCCAAACTAGGACCCTGATACATCCTCAGTCTCAACCCCAGACCAGGAGCCCAGCCCTACCCCACCCTCACCTGCAGTCTAGGCATCAGGCACTGCCCCAAACACAGACCAGAGACCCATCATGCCAACAACTCCAACCTCAGTACAGAGCCCAAGCCAGACCATCTCCGTCCCAGTCTAGGCCACTTTTGTCCCAGTCCCAAACACACCACCACTTTCAACGGATACAACCTCATCCCCAGTCCCACTCGCAGCATACCAGGCTTCTTGCGCAGAACCTCGCATCCCAGACAAACCTTATCCCAACTCAGAAAAACCAGAACGAACAGCCCCAAGACCTGAGCACTACACGGCCCAGTCAAGAAAGCCAGTTCCAAAGAAGAGAGTCCAGCACAGAGGATGTCCGGATGGAGGGAAGAAGGGAGCTTACCACATCATCAGAGAGCAGAGAGGTTTTAGGAGGGGACAGAGGGTCAAACAGTGCGCTGAGACCTCCAGGACCCTCTGGAGTATCTGGGCCCAGTTTTGTGCCTGGAGCAGATAGCAGTGCAAGACTACAACCAGAGCCAGAGGAAGCAGGTGAAGGTAGGGAGCTTAGAGACATTGTCCCCCAATCCACCGTTCCCTGTCCCAGCTGTGAGGAAACTGTAGATTCCCGGACTGCTGTCGGCGAAAGAGTGAGCTGATCGGTCGGCCCGATGAAAACCATCTGACAAAGTGAGACCGGACCAGACGGAGAGGACTGTAACCAGGCACTTTACAGAGGTGTTAGTAAAGTTGTAGACGTAGAAACCATTGCTGAGGCACAGCTGGAAACAACGAAAGGAACAAGACAATATGTGTGGGTGTGTGTATATACTTCTATAATCAAAGGCAGCTGTTGTGTCCTGCTAGTCTCTGTGTGTGGGGGGGACTAAAGATCCACACTTAAATCATTACGCCAATGATGTTTCCTTCTCAATAGAACATGTTTTTCTTTAGTGTTGTGTCTGTTCTATAGCTTTAAACTCTGACGCGATGACCCCCAACTCGTAAAGACCGCCGTACGCCCTCACTGAACCTGGTCCTGGACTGGAAGCCTTGGATGGCATGGACCAGCGCTTTGCACCTTAAACTGGTTTCTTAGAAATCTCTTTTGTAGGTTTTCTTCCACACGCAGCGCTAGGAAGCTTCAGGAGTTCAAGTCGTGTTTTTGTTGAAAGACAGTGGTCTTCTCAGTCCACCTTCTGAATGTGAGGGTTCAGAATGCCCCCGACCCTGGTTCTGGAACCTGGAGCTAGGCTCATAAGAGAGCCTGCTCTAGTTGTAGTTCTTCCAGGGTTTCTCCAAACTGCTCATTCTTCCTGTTTGATTTCTGATGGAAGCAGCTTCATAACCAGACACTGACCAGAGACCCTGCAGGTCCTTGTCCAGACCCTGCAGGTCTTCATCCAAACCCTAACCAGACCCTGCAGGTCCTCATCCAGACCCTGCAGGTCCTCATCTAGACCCTGCAGGTCTTCATCCAAACCCTGCAGGTCTTCATCCAGACCCTGACCAGACCCTGTAGGTTCTTGTCCAGACCCTGCAGGTCATTGTCCAGACTCTGCAGGTCTTCATCCAAACCCTGACCAGACCCTGCAGGTCCTCATCCAGACCCTGCAGGTCTTCATTCAGTCCCTGACCAGACCCTGTAGGTCCTCATCCAAACCCTGCAGATCTTCATCCAGACCCTGCAGGTTCTCATCCAGACTCTGCAGGTCTTCATTCAGACCCTGACCAGACCCTGCAGGTCTGCATCAAAACCTGGCAGGCCTCAATCAAGACCTGGACCGCAAGGATGAGGACCTACAGGCAAACTAATCAGCCTACTTGTGTG